CCAGTTGTGCCTGGCTAGCAATACAGTAGTTACAATGACCCGGCTCACGTGCAATCATGTTACCATATCAAATAACATAAAACTGACCTTTGATCTGTACAAAGTAAGTTATCTTGGCTGTGTTTTAGCAGACTATTATTTTGTAAAATACAGTCACATTTTCAATTCTAGCTTGTTAATATCCATATTTTTGAGTTTCTAATTCATATGAAACTATAGACTTAGTATTTTGACTTCACAAACATCTAATTTGAACCAGTGTTGCATTCAACATACCACGTTACACACAAAAATCGATGTTTATCTGTTTTTAATATTTACTTTTAAATAAAGAAATTGAGTAATGTTATAGTACTAAAATTTATAGTTCAATAAAATTTTGAATGCGAGTCAACAAACGAGATGACATGGCCTTTCACACGTGACCCGTCTCGAAAGGGTTAACCCGTTCACAACAGGTGCCCCTTTAAATGCTTTTCTTTAAAAATTTAATTAATTACCTTTACAATTAATATATGTGAATTAAATTAATATTATAATGTGTGTTTTGATTCAAAGTTTTACTTTATCTAAGTTTTAAGTTCTTTATTTCAAAATAACCCTTTAAAAACTACTTAAAACCATATGACCAATGAGCTATGAAAATCCTCGACTTTGGCTCTGTATTTTCAATAATACAATGGTGGTTGAGTAAAGGAACATTTAGACAAGAAGATGCTTACATAACCTTCTGCATCATACATTTCAAAGTTCTCTGAGTGTACACAGTTAAAACAAGTAATAAATTACTACAACCCTGACAGCTGCCATATGGTGATCCTTCAGTTTTGTGTGATTCTTAGCTTCTTTTGCTTACATTTAACCTTAGCTATGGCTTCTAAGCAAGGTCCAAGTGACAATTATGGTGTCAAGCGTAAGCACAAGTCCATATCAATACAAGACAAGGTAGAACTGTTGAAACAGCTCGGCCGTGGTGTTTCCATGCAGAAACTGTGCGATACATAAGTTATTGATTCGTCAACTGTTTACGATATAAAGAAGCAAAGTATAATTAGTGGGTCAGAGGTGTATTGTTGAATTATTATTACGTGACTTCTGTTGGTCCAGCAAAATGGATAATCTGGCAAGGCTCTAGAACCAAGAGTGCTGGAAAATTGGTGGTGTACATGTATCATACTTTATTTGCTAACTGAAAAGTCAACTTACCAACATAAATCATAAAAAAATATGGTAAGAATGACAGGTTTAATGATGAACACTATCCTCATCTTTCAAAATGGCATCACCTTTACCTTTGTCAAGCCTCATGGAGTCATATTTTGCCAACAATATTCCTGACCAAAATCCATTTATATAGTAGTAGTTATAATTTATTTTGAACCCACAAGTTCTTGTACTTTTGTGTGGTATTTGAATACAATACACTTTACATGTAGTCAATAAAGAAAGGATTTGTGCCATCCATTGCAGACCAAATTACTGTAGTCTTTTGATAGTAAAATATTCCAGTAGGTTCCAAATGGACAAAATACATTATACATAATGAAGTACATTATATTAAAATGATTTTACAAATCAGTAAGTTATGTGATGACCAACACTTGTAAAAAATTGTGGTGATACAAAATGTATCAGAAACACATTTTTACATTGTGTGATGTTTCACAGACATCATGATGCCACCAAACATTTATCACTTTTGTGAATGGTATGTAACTGCCCTATTCAACACAAAATACTCAGATCAGAAAGATATTTTAAGGTCAGAGATTTAGAATTTTCAAAATGGTGATATTCCTTGTACCTAATGCCATTGGAAAACAAAAGAATATGGCTCAACTTGGGGAACCTGGACTGTCTACAAAGAAACCCATAACAAGTTATATCCCAGTCATGGTAAGCAAAGTATAGTGTCTTGTAACAAAGGAGAATACACAACATAATCAAGGATATCCATTCATAAATAATACCAATAATGAATGGGAATTGGTTCACCATGATGAGGCTTCCAGTCATATATTCCCATTCACCCATCACACACCTCTAGCAGTCTGGAGGTTAAAACAAATATTCATGCTTTTCCATATTAAGAAATACTAAAGTCACTGGATGCAGGACCTATGGATTTCTGTGTCAATAGACTGTTAAACAGGTGCAGGGAAAGCATCATCATTACACAAGAGTAGTGTGCTTTTGCCATAATAGCCTTTTGTATCAGAACCAATGTGTAGGGCTACCGTCAATATAAATGTAACATATTCAGTCTCTGCATAATGTGAAACATTTTCAAGGACAAAAAAAGCATCAGAAATTTCAACAAGAATAATATGTCCTCTAATTTTTATTTCAAATCTTGACTGCAACTAATTAAAAAATTTTTAAAATGTAACTAATTTTGACATGACACTACTAGATACTCAATTACAAAACATTTAAGATTACAACCTCTTCTTTTTATTGTTTATGTTCAGACTAAGTCGATTTTTAAAGAAAACAACATTCATTTTCCTCAAGACTTCAAACAGGCAGTATTATGAATGCAACTTCAATCAATAAATTCACAGATAGCTAAACAGAAATCATAAAAAGATATAAGATAAATGTAACGCTAACTAAAATGTTGAAATTGGATTGGAAGAAATAAATATAAGCTTATGAGCTTTAAAGGATTTCTTAAAAATTTAGAAGTACAGTATTTACAATTCAGACATCTAGAAACAGAAATATATTTTTAAATTACATTTAAAAGTTCAGTTGCATGTGTGCATTTGGTGTGACCTGAAAATCTACAGTCCCAAAAAGAGTTAAAGTAACTAACTAATGATTTATATGTTGTATCATGAAAAAGAAAACCATTTTTCACAAAGAAAAACTAGACTATTGGATGATCTATATTCTCTAATAGATCAGAACTTTTGAACTATAAAGATAACTATCTACATAAGCACTACACACACACATATACGTACATATAAATAAACAAGTATTACCTAGCCTTATCAGCATTTAAGTTTTAAAGTATGTGGTTAAGGAAGAAAGAAGTAAATCTGAATATAAATCACATACCAGCAGCAGATTTTGGATTATTTCCAACAATTCCAACTGTTCGCCCATTCATTCGACCAAAACCAACAATAATGTTTTTGGCATAATTGGGCATGATCTCAAAGAAGTCACGCTCATCTACTACCTGAAAAAAACAACAATAAACGTGGTTTTTATATTCTTTCTTGAAGTTTTTAATATTGCATTGTATAAGCAAGGCAAACTTCACAAAATCATACATGACTTATGACAAATCTTATTGTTTGTGACCAGAATGCCTTGCAAGATACAAGTCTATCTCTGTAGAATATTAGCAATACACAAACAATGTGAAGTATATTAACCATTTGTTATGACTTTTAAAGTAGTTGTCCACAACAGTACCAAAACAATGGCTGGTTCAAGTAGTATTATATCTTTCTTTGGATTATATTTTGATGTTTATGGATTTTCTACAAAGGATATTAATTTCAATTGTTCAATATGTTTATTTTTTTACTCAACTACTAACTTATTTCCAAATCTTTTAAAATAGTTTTTAAGATACTTAGCCATTATATTCTTTTGTTAGCTATTTTGTTTTTATACTGTTTACATAACTTTCTCATTTACTTTGTTTTCAAATTTGGTGTTTCACATCTGAGTTTGTTTATTGTGGTTGAAGTTGAGTTCCTGCAGAAATAAAGATCACAACAAACACATTACTGATCCCAATGTGTCTCACAAGAATAAATAACTCCTCTACTTTAGATAATTATTTTATACAAAATTGATGTTCATACTAAACAGTAATACAGGCAGTTCACTTTTTATATTATCAAGAACCTTTTAGAAAAACATCGTACATTAAACAAAATGTAAATCTGAATCAAATGAATATCAACTGATGTAAGAAACATTTATTTACCATTCAGTAATGAACTCTGACTCTGTATATGAAACCATAATATTTCTGAGGATTTTAAAGATTGTTATTATTATTTACATTTAGGAAAAAAAGATTACTTCATTTCAATATGAGAAAGGGTGTTATCATTCGTTATAAGCTCAATACATATGGCTAAACTATATTCATCCTAATATGGGAAAGGATGTTATCATTCGTTATAAGCTCAATACATATGGCTAAACTATATTCATTTCAATATGAGAAAGGGTGTTATCATTCGTTATAAGCTCAATACATATGGCTAAACTATATTTATCCCAATATGGGAAAGGATGTTATCATTCGTTATAAGCTCAATACATATGGCTAAACTATATTCATTCCAATATGGGAAAGGATGTTATCATTCGTTATAAGCTCAGTACATATGCCCAAACTATATTCATATAGTGGATTTTTATTTCGTCATGAAGTTTTGATTTTACCATAACAATGTATTGCCAGTAATTGTAAATGGCTAGTAAATTCATCACCTTTTTACTGTTTACAGATAACTTCCTAACAATTTATATGATCAGTCTTCACTGTGATACTGTGATTAATATCAGAAAAAAAAATCCTTTTTTTCTTTTGATTATATCCATATGCATTGAGCTCATAGTGAATGATAACATCCTTTCCCATATTGGGATGAATATAGTTTAGCCATATGTACTGAGCTTATAACGAATGATAACATCCTTTCCCATATTGGGGCGACATAACTGTATTGTTTGCCAACATGTCCATAACTGTTGACCTGAAAGCCAGGTTTTACACACACTTATTAGAAAAGTACAATCACAGGTCTAATGATGTCACGCACTATCCCATTTCATTAGAGAAATTTTTCAATGTTTTTTATATTTTTTACAAAATAATATCAATAAATAAACACTACCCCACTAAAAGTTACCAATGTAATCATTTTAGAAAATTATGAACACTTGTTTCAAAAAGATTTATCTCTGAGCTCATATCAGGACAAAGTCAACTGTAAGACTATTAGTTTTAAATTATAAGTAGTTTTGGTAAAGCAACAGAACCTGATAAAGCAATTAATTGAACAAAATAATAAAAGAAGTACGAGAATCAATGAAATTATAACCCTTGCATGTCATACAAGATAGATAGTTTGAAGGCATGTGATTAAGAAAGGCTTTTAACATAACTGAAACAAGGAAAGAAGAGTTTTACAACAATTAGATCACAAGAAGAAAACAATCCCAGTGGAAGTTGTTGAAAATGTCATGAATTGATTTTTTTTATACCATCATCTTGAAAAATTCACTGTTTCAAATTACTTAACCTAGAAGTAAGTAAAAAGATCACAGGTTTGCAGCTTTGTTTCATATGGTTAAGTTTTACCTACACAGGTGGGAAAGTTAAGTATTTCTGTTTCTAAATAACAATTTCAGTTGGAGGAGGGAAAACAATCTAAATTTGGATTAATTTTTGCATCACTTTATTAAAACAAATGTTAATAAATACATACATCAAAACATAATTCTAAAACTATAACTGAAATGATCAAATTTATTTTTAAGGTGATTTGGAGCAAACAGCTAGTTTTTTAAAACTTCTTGATGTCATTTAACTTTCTTCTTGCCAGCAGGGTGACATTGTGTCACCCTTGCTTATTTTGTTGTCACACTTAGAATGCTTAACCTAACTGTATAAAATTCAGTACACTCTTTCTGCACAAGATATAGTTTGTGCTTGGAACTAACAACTTGGTTTATACTTTTATAATATTTTTGGTAATGAATTTTTAGAAATTTTGTTTTGAGTTTGTGTTTTTTACTTGTGTGCCAAAAGTCCTGTAAATGTATTCAACAGTTATCTTTTCAATAAAGTTATAATTGTTGTGTCTGTGTTATTCCAGTAACAGCATAGTCACTTCCACATCTGTTCACAAAAGCTCTTACATAAAAAGAAAATAACTATTAAAAAAGATAAAATAAATAAAACTGGATTTTAAAAAAATATCATTGATCAGAAAGTTCCACTTCATATATACAATTATGTTTAATTTATTTAATTTTCATCAAATATTTATAGTTATTTATTTTTATCTATTAAAGCAGTTACACAGCTGTGAAGATAGCACAAAACACTGATAAAATTAAAAGTATTGATCAGTAGAAACACAATCTGCACTTGTATCCTAGGCCTAAAAGGATACAGGCAATATTTTTCTAACTATATATTTACTCAATCTCAATTTCTCTCTGTAACAATTATGGTTTCTTTGATATAACTAAGGACTTATTGTACTTGTGTGTATGTTTAGTAATAATAAATTCACTAATACACACGAATAAAAAAGCGTTTTGGTCATCTGAACAGTTTGCTGTCACAGAACTCTCATTCCTAGCTTATCACACTCACTAACCCTAAATATCCTTATCTTATTTTTTCTCATACAAGAATACTTCTGTAATTTTAAAACAGACATAACAGAAAAAGATTATCACAAATGAAAACATTGTCAAAAAAAAAGAGAGAAATTCTAGGCTTTTGTCTTGTTCTCAAGTCTTATAAATGTCACATTAGAATCATTTGTTCTCCACTACGAGAACTTCTGCTAGTTGCTTCTCAGAAATCATATGTTGTCTTAATGAAGTGTAATTTACATTACATTGACGTATACATACAAGAATCTTTTCTATCCAATCGTGTTTAGGCATTGGTTCTATTTTGTTAGTTACTGTCCAACCCACTTGTTGTGGAATAATAAAAGCCTCTCAATGTAGGATTCTTGAAATAGTTATTGTAAGAAAAGACAATAGAAACTAAACTTTAGGAAAGTCTGTTTATAACGGATACTGGTGTTTGGATAGGTGTGAATTTATACTCTGGAATGGGTAGAAAGATCATAAAAAATGTGAAAGAGCTTTGTTAACAAGGGATATCCCATTGGACCTATGCAAAAGATCAAAGCTCAAACATATTTTTACAGTCTTCTTTGCAAATTACACAAAACAAGTTTTGCAAAGTCACAAAATATCAATTCTCAGATACTTTTGAGTAAAAAAATTATGGAAATGGATTTAGAATTATTATTTTTACTTAAATTGTGAAATTTGTTGTACAAGCAAGCCCTCAGTGCCATTTTGATCCTGAAGAGCTGCACAGATAAGGTGAACTGATCTAGTAAAAGGCACTATATGGGTCTGGAATGGCCTGAGAATAGCACATGATACATTATCACAAAATACTCACTCCCAAAACAACATCAAGCATGTTGTAAGCCTGAGTACTTTCCAGTGGCACTACAGTCTCCAGGCCATCAACCATACGGTCCCTGTAATAATAATAATAATAGAAAAATAGAAGTTTCAGAAATAGTCAAAGAACTAAATTCCATATTTCTTTACATTTCAACTTTAATATAGGAGCAGAGTTAACCAAAATCACACCTTTTGAGCAGCTTATGACAAGTTCTATCAGTTTGCATTAAAAGAATTTTTGACAAAGTTTCATGAAAGTGTTTTAATTTGTATAATATTTGTAATACCTTGAGAATATTGTTGTTTTAACATTTCATTAAATGAAAAAATTGGATTTATATCCAACTTACTTGGTCTTCAGATGTGAATTTAGTCATCTTAATTACACATTATGACAAAAAAACAAATTTCAAAACATATTTTTTTTCCCACATTTTTCATAATTTGTCCATAACAGATCGAAAATCAGAAATGTGTAAAAATTGTGTTTAAGATCTATCTTTCATCACATATTTTAGGCTAACTGGATTCTAATGTTTCACAAAATTTCAGCATTTAAGCCATAACTTTTAAAATACTATACTGCATATATATTGGTGTACTTTGGTGACAGATTCAATGGGTAAAGTTGTAGCTAGTGATGAGTTGATATATTGATATATTGAATTTTTTGTCTCTCATCATCCAACCCAAATGACGAGTTCTGTTACCGAATGAAAAGTCTCTTGGGCAGTGACTTAAAAGAGATGAAAGATATATCTGTAAAATGATATTTTTAAATGTCTGAATTTGAATACACAATGTACAAATTAACAGGAATGTGAGAAAGAACCTCTTAAGTTCAAATAATTTTCAATTACAAATTTTAAGCCCATTAGTTTCTAATACTTCTCAGCTTTCAGCATCTAAAACATAACTTCGAAACAAAGACTCAATGTTTTCGGTTGTAATTATTATTTTTAAACAAAATTACTTCCTGACAAATCATGATAAATTTATAAGTATGATTAAAAAAAAGGGTGAGACAAACATATAAAAGGGATAATTTATTATTTTTGGCATATTTCTGTAACTGAAACTCAGATTTATTTCTTACAGCAACTTTAAAGGATGAGGTAAATGCTAAGCAATATTCATGCAAACATGTAGGCTGCTTACCGATTAAAACATATTTTGCTCATAGCATTGTCAGTATTAAATTAAATTGAAATACTTATTGTAAAACTGAGTTTAGTTTAAAACAAGATGGCTAGCTATAATGCTTTGCTAACAGATACAACAGAAAATAATGAACTTGAGTGTTACATATGTTACCATAATAATCAGCCTACATTTGCAAACCAGTTGTAGACCACATTTTTTAATGAATGAGCTATGAAAAAAACTCACCTTTAAGCATATAATGAGAACTATACTATGCAGAATACACACAGTATTTTCTCAGCAAAATGTGGTCCCACCCAATATTATTTTGATGAGTGGGGTGGTGGGTAAGAAAGCAGCCAGTGAATGTTGGTCTTTACAAACATCAATGCTATATTTTATCCCTCTTACTAACACTTTTATTTGCAGGGTTTGTACAATCTTAGACAGAAAATGAAAAAACTTTTGAATTTAACACAGTGACTTGTGCAGAAAAGCAATTCAAGGGGCTCCCGTTGCAAAATAGGTAATTAGAAATTTAGTAAACTTTTATGAACTTTTTTTTAAAGATATATGCAATCACTTTCCATCAAAAATTGGGATTTTTAATGAATTTTTACAGTTCAAAATTATCAGTTAAAATCCAAGAATTTAAGATTTCTAAGACCTATACATACCCTGTATTCTTATAGGTTTTAATAATCACTTTCAAGTCAATTCTATATTTTGCTATTGGTAGCAAAAATGAAAGAAAATTGTTTGAAGTCCACACTGACTTTCTGACAAAAATAAAGAGACAGACTATTCCATTACTGCATCATTAGACAATTTCACTTGCTCTTATAGAGACCCAAGAATCTTAAGTTTATGTACTACATGACAATTTTCACTAAAATCTAAATTATTCTAATATTCACACCATTGTAAACTGATGATGAATAACAACAGACAAACCATGTCACTGTCATGACGACAAGGAACATTTAAATGCTCAATCTGAAAAATTTCAAAATTTTTTGGGTGAGAAATTTTTCAAGTAAAAAATTTTATTTTATGGCAGTCGTCAATAAAAATAAAATTACAATATTTAGGAAAATAAATCATAGTAAATGAGAGAATATTTCCAGAGCCAGAATGAGATAACATAATATAATGTTCTGGGACAACATGGGACCTATTCGTCCATCTCAGCTGTTTCATTCTCTAAAATAAATTAAAATAATTTAAAAATAAATCTTAAAGCTAGCCCTTATCATTCATATACTTACCAAGCTTTTTCTTAAACTCACTTAAATTTACTGCCTCTACAACATCTGAAGGCAACCCATTCCAAAGACCAACCTCCCTGTTAGAGAAATAAAACTGTCTTGATGACTCCTACCTTACCAAGATTTATATTTGTGTCGCCTAGTCCTACTATTCTCACTGTGAAATATGAAAAAAGATGATACACCAACAGTATGAATTCCCTTTACAATCTTAAACACCTCAATCAGCTCTCCCCTAGCTCTTCTTTTTTTCAAGAGAAAACAATTTGAGAGATTTAAACTTCTCCTCACATGACAACCCCTTCATCCCAGGCACCATTCTAGTAACCCTTTCCAACAATTCAATGTCGTTCCATAGGTAAGGAGCCCAAGACTGAACACAAAATTCCAAATGTGGCCAAACCAGTGACCTATACAATGAAATTATAACCTCTTTAGACTTGGATTCAATACTTCTGTAG